ATTGCAGACGACATAGTAGTATAATTCATCAGCCCCTCGGCACCAGCATAGGATGAGGCCATTGCAGATATCTAAGACAGCTACATTGTCTAAGGTGAAGGGCAAGAACGATAAGGACATGTGTTCACCGGTGACGCTGGTGTAACATCGATGGCCTTGGTCGAGGTCGTAGAAGAAGTCATAAAAGAAGCGGAGGATCTCGACAATAGCATGTCCGTGAGGATGGCCAGTGCATTCCTCTTGTTGGGGGCCTCCATTTCATCTGTTGAGAGCTTGCTAAGTAATGAGATCACTTAAGAGGAAAATAATCCAACAAAGATCCATCAGTGAAGTCCACAACTCATACCAAAATACAACTTTAACAACCATTAACAATTTTCGTGGTATGACCTCAAACAAATCTAGAGTAGCACCACATAGATTTATATAACTCAAACTAGAGTAGCAATTAATGGAGCTATAACTATTACAATTCCAGCTAAATCAAGTCTATCCATCACACTTACAATCAGTACACGAGCTCAGAGCTTCTTCCATAGGAGACAGATAAAGATTAAGAGGACGACAATTACAACAGTTTTGAAGGCAGAAGCAATGGGCATGTTTGTTTGCCTAGACAGATAGGTATAATCAAGCAAGCACTTCACAATTAACAGGCTAGTTGCACACAGGCATTTATAGTAACAACACTGAACATATGCATAGACAATCAAACAACATTGATCCATTTAAACATGTCATGACAGAGACATACATCAAATGCAGCTTTATTTACTACTTTGCTAATGACTCCAACTCCGAGAACAAGGGAACATAGGGAACATAGTAAGGTCTACCGATGAAGTTTGACATAACATCACGTCTACCATATGGAATGTGATGTGTAGGGATGACATGAACTTTTCTACTACATGTTATATGTGATGACGACACTTTCCTCCCCAGCCCCAACAAACAAAATCAAATTCCATTTTGGGTGAACTATAACCACTGAGTAGCTCGACTCAAGATCCAAGTAACCAAATTGAACCTTAGTCTTTGCAAACACCTTATGTATGCTGACAGTATGCTTCAATGTCCATTTATTAGTTCTATAGTCTTCAAGGATCTAGAATCAAAGCTTGGACATATTGCGACCACTAACAATACACTCAAACAAGTACCCTGAGCTTGATGGATGTAGTGTCTGAAACCACGCGTCCTGTTAGGAATTTTCCTCCATGTCTTTCCCTCCATATCTACAGCAAGTATATGATGGCCACCCATCGCGTACCCCATATAGTGCAGACAACTGTTAAGAAACACAGTTTCTAATTTTTCAAATGTCATCGGAGCCACCTCGCCCCATTTAGATTCCTTAAAGATCCATGTTGCAGTTTTAGAAGAGTACATGTCCAAACCCACGAACTCACCATCATCATCCTTCAAATATTCAATCACATGGAAGTGCGAGGAGGCTATCGGATCAAACCCCAATCGAGCCTCACCAATAGAATGGATGCTAGGCGGCAGTACCTTCCACTTCTGGGTTGTCGGATTACAGATGACATAGCGTATCCATTAGCCCCAAGGCACTAGCATAGGATGAGGCCGTTGCAGCAATCTGAGACAGCTACATTGTTGAAGGTGAAGGGCAAGAAGGACAAGGAGGGGTGTTCACCGGTAATGCTGGTGTAGTGTCAATGGCTGTTCTTAGTGTCATAGAAGAAGCCGGCCATAGTCTGAGGCATCAACTTATTGTTGTGCGAGATGAGGCATTTCCAGGAGTGACAAACACATTTGCAGCAGAACAAGGAGCAGGTGGGGAGGCGGTGGAGGATCTCAACAACGAAATCATTCGTGAGGTTGGCTAGTGCATTCCTCTTGTTGGAGGCCTCCTCCATTTTGTCAATGTGTAGTAGGATGAGAGTTTGCTCAGTAATGAGATCACTAACGAGGAAAATAATCCAACAAAGATAGGTATAAGAGGATGACAATTACAGCAGTTTTGAAGGCAGAAGCAATGGGCCTGTTTGTTTGCCTAGATAGATAGGTATAATCAAGCAAGTATTTGACAATTAACAGGCCTAGTTGCACACAGACATTTACAGTAACAAAATTGAACATATGCAAAAAACCAAGACATCAGCAGAAAACCAACCAGTGCCACCTCTTAGTTCTTTTCATAATCATATCATTGGCCTAACTAGATCTCTAACGCTAGAATGTTTCTTGTATACCTCATATTCAAGCAAGGACCAAAACAGTGAAGCAAACAGGAAAAGACAAGAAAGGAGACCTATGGATCGGATCTATCGCCTCTGCCGCGGCACACAATAGACACGGACGCCAATGCCGCCGCGCTCCACTAGCAAGCCCTGCCTCCTAGCCTCCAAAAGGATGCTGGAGCCACCACAGCACACCGGGGATCCTCCTCCTCCTCCGCCGCCACTAGTCTAATGGGCACAAATTTGTTTCCACTTGAAGGAGAAATATCTAATATAGGTCAACCTATAGGGCATCTACACAAAGAATATAATACTATAATGACTCCAAAGACATGTCAATACAACCAGACATCTAGCGCAACGGTAAAGACCATGCATTCCTTCCTCCGGGTGTCGGGTTCAACTCCCAGGCATTGAGTTTTTTTTAATTTATTAGACCCTGGCGGCACAAAAGGTACAAGTGACACGTAAGCCGTTGGGTCCCACAGGTCAGATGGAGATGGAGAAAGGTCCCACAGGTACACGTGACATGTGAGCCGTCGAGTCCCATAGGTCACATGGTTCCACAGGTATACGTGACACACAAGCTGTTGGGTGCCATAGGTCGAATGGAGATAGAGAACGGTCCCACAGGTACACGTGACACGTAAACCATCGGGTGCCACAGGTCGGATGTTGAAGGGTCCCATAGGTACACCTCGGATGGAGAAAGGACCGAGCGGAAACTTTTATGACGAATTGCAAGCATCATGGATGAGTAACTGTAGGTCCCACAGGTACACGACGGATGGAGAAGGGTCCCACAGGTACACGTCGCATGAAGAAAGGATCGAGCGGAGACTTTTATGACGAATTGCAAGCATTACAGATGAGTAACTATAGGTCCCACAGGTACACATAGGATGAAGACAGTACCATGCGGAGATCTATGGCGAAGCGTCGTTCGTTACAGATGGAATATTGTTCGTCACAGATGTGTAATTCGTTCAATGACGAAGCCTTGTTCGTCACAGTATTAAAGGAGGTCATCACAGATGAGTCACGCGAGTGATATGTGACGAAACCCTGTGCTCTTCGATGACGTTTTTTTTGTGACGATGCCTGATTTCGTCATAGATAGGAAGGGCTGGAGGATGGTCACCACTGATCTATGATGAAATGGAAATATTCGTCATAAAAAGCGATCTTCTATGATAGTTTTGGATTCGTAATTAAGATTTTCGTCATAGAAGTGGATATTTCTAATAGTATAAATCTTAGACCCAGATTCACTTTTTTCAGCAATGAATCTCTACCCAACAGGCCCTAAATTCTGTATTAAGAACAGCTTCATGTCAGTATTGATTCCTCCAACAGCCGACAGTCGATGATCATCAGTCTCAAGCACAGTTTTGACAATCTTGACTTCTCATCCGTTCGGCTACAAGCTTTACAAGAGGCCAGTTTAGATGTGGCAACAGTTTGTGAGTTGATTGCTCGGACAACGAAATAGATGTAGTATAGTCAGAGTGGTGCACAAATATATATGTGTGTATATGTATACATATAGTATTTTTTCCCTTCATTGTGCTCATATTCTATTTGTTGACGCCACTTGCAGGTTCTGTATCATGATTCAGTGAACGCTGCGTGTAGCTTCCACGCCTTTCTAACTCAAGCCGTGGAACAATCGCTGGTACTATGTAGGGTTATTTGAATTCAGGTCCTAGCCATTTGTAGTGCCTCCAATTTGTTCAATCTTTGGTAGACTGTTTGCTCATTTTTGTGAGGCAAAAGAGAGTGCACTAATTCATGCGTTGATATACTTAAATGATATGCTCAGATACACAATAGGGGATGTTCACTAATGTCATGTCACGTGGTAACCAATAGTAGTGGGTGTGCTCCACTTAGTTTAATTTGTAGGAGTGAGACTTGGTTTGTAATAACTCCATTTCTACCTATTAAGTATGTATATATGGTTTTCTAACTATGATGTATTCATATATCTAATCTTGTGAGAAATGTGATGGCAATGAGAATTCTCTAATGCATTATAATTGTATGATGCGTTATAATTCTGCCGGTTGTGTTATTGAGCTAGCAGTGACACTTAATAATTCACTGCCAGGTGTGGCACTAATCCGATAGTGCTCTCATGAGTATCACTGCTGGGCTGAAGCATGAATTGGCAGTGATACTCATGACATCACTGCTAGCTAATGCTTTGATCCGACAGTGATAGCGTGTTATCACTGTTGGGTGGACAGACTGGCTGTAATAGGTTACCCCATCACTATCGATTATCCTCTGTTGGAAGCAATTCCGCCTGAGTCCTGAGTGATGGGGTTCTGACCCGTTGTTGATTGCATGTTATGGCATAGTGAAATAACTCGGCTAGGCTCGCACACATACGTACCAGATATCAATGTCGTCTATTTTCAACTTAACCACTAGGCTTAGCACAAGATCTCCCCATGATTAAGGGAGGGTTACATGTGCCATCTGCCTTATCCTATAGTTTGTTAAAAATTTCTATGATATCTTATATTTTAGGATAGAGGGAGTACACCATTACATAATAGAAATAGAAGCATCCAAACTAAAAAGGTTCACTAATAAAGAGAAAGAGAAACTGCAAGCGCTTTTGACAGGGGAGCCTTATGAGTCATGCATGGGCTATGAGCCTATGACTAATCAGCAACGGCAGCCACATATATATTTGATGCAAGAATTATATATAGAGCAAATGTGTAATGTGTTACACGGAAGGAATTCTAATGGTACGGTGTAGATGGCATCATCATCATATCCTTACGCCGCATGGCCTCTTTGGATACTCTGCACAAGCGACTTGGCCGACGAGATGGTCCCCACCACCGCGAGAACTACGCCGGTCACCATCAACACCACGTTGAGAGTGACGGTGGACTTGGGCACCCTGCCCCAGTAGATCTTGAGGTAGAACGCGCAGGGGAAGATGACACAGATCGCCACGCTCACCAGCGAGCCCGTGAGGCTGAGCACGTACTGGAAGTACGGCACGGAGAGGGCCAGCGCCAGGATGACCAGGAGCGCTGCCGACCCGACTGCACCGCGGACGAACATGCGCGCGCGAGGTCCCATGCCCTCTGGGAGGTGGTGCTGGAGCTGGATGGCAAACGGCGCGAACTCAAGCGCGTACTTGGTTACCGGGGTGAGCACGGTAGCCCACAGCGCGACCTTGGAGACCACGAGATGCGGCGGCATGCTGAGCGTGATCTGAGAGCTCACCGCCGGGCCGAAGAGGCTCGCGCCGACGAACGCAAGAGCCACGTAGAGAGCCGTGACCACGGCGAAGCTCGTAACGGACACCTTGGTGAAGCTGGATGGGTCCTTCATGGCGGTGTAGATGTTTGGGAGCACGATGTGCCCGGCGTAGCTGAACATGTACAGGCCAGACACCACCGGGATCTTCTCCAGCTGGAGCACGGAGATGTGCTTGCCCAGGTTCACCCCGCCGAACGCGGCGGTGCAGACGACGCTGCCAAAGATGAGCAGCGACATGATGATGCCAGCGAAGGAAAGGAAGGAGATGGACGACAGGTCCCTGAGCCAAAGGCTGGGCAGCGCCACCAGCACGGCGATGATTGTTAGCAGCTGCGTCGCGCTGAGGTGGAGCCACGGAAGGTGGAGGTGGACACCTGCGAAGACGAGCGGCAGGTTGTCGCTGAGGGAGATGGTGTAGGAGACGAGTGCGAGGAAGATCTCGAGGTAGATGATGGTTGAGGCGATGACGCGGCCCTTGACGCCGAACGCCTGCTCTCCGATGTCCTGGTACGTTTTGGAACCGGAGTCCTCGTCGAGGCACCTGCCGATGATGTGAGCTGTGTAGGCGCACATCACGCCGAGGCCGATGAGGAGGAATACAGAGGCCCAGCCGCCGTTCTCCAAGGCATATGGAGTGGAAAGCTGCCCCAGCCCTGAAATAAATGGCACATAAATAATGTGGATGATTTTTTGTGCTGCTTATTATTTGCTAAAAAGTTTCAATGCGATGGTATTTCTTCAAAGTAGAGGTCCAACGGTTGGCACAGATGCTAGCCTCTCGTAAAAGTGGGCACATGCTTTATCAACAGTGAACATGAATAATTGTTAGATTCCATTTGGCTCGGCTTCTCCATCCGCTCCTAAAGTCGTTTGGAGTGTTTTTGTGTCGAAGGGGATCAAACCAAACGACTTTACCTAAAGAGCTCCATAAATCGTACAAAGAATATGTGGAGGGTGAAGCCAAAAATAGCAGCTTTACCTTGGCCTGATGGCTCTGCATAAGATTCTATGAAAGCATATTTTAAAGAATTCTACATGTAAAACTATTTTGCTAAACAGTTTACCAAAATAGCTTCAGCTTCCCCGTTGGAGCTGAAGCCCTAAAAGACATCATCACTGATGACGTAGAGACGTGCCAAAAGGAGCCTTAATTGTTAATTGCCATGACCTTAGTTCTGGTTAGTGTAAATCTGGACCTTTCGTGTTGGTTTGGCGTCAAATGATCTCCGCTAAAATTTTGTATTTTGGTTTCCAAACTGTGGCCCACAGGCTGGTCAAAGGATTAAACTTGAGAAAATGCAAAAGCTATGATCTAGCCATGGGATGTCTAAAATACAGACAACACAGTAGAAATGAGTGTCACGCAAAATGTGGCAACGGCGGTGGTGGTCGTCCAATAACCGTTATTGATCCCTTGGTACCAAAGTTCAGGGAAAATGGCTTAATAGTGACATGTGCAGCACTTGTAAGCACTGCAGTTATAAATTATACCTATGAGCATCCCAACCATGTTGATGGCGGAGTGTGCAAAGGAGCTGTTCGGCTCGCTACGACGCTCCTCACCCTTCACCTCCACGACGGCCACCTTCCCGCCGTCCTGGGCCACGGCCTCCTCTCTGCACTTGCATCGCGTGCCCGCCTCAACGTCGCAGGTCTCACAGCGCCTGCTCAGCCGCTGCAGAGCGAGCTGCGCGCCGTGCACGCTCTCGCTCGCGACCTGCCGGGGCTTGGGACAGAGCGACCAGCACCGGAGACTTGCCATTGATGCTGCTCCTTGGTTATGTATGTATGTATGTGTCTTTCCTAGGGGCCTATGCCAACTATGTGCCAATTAAGGCTAGGGGCGGCTCGACTGTTTGCTGTAAATATTGAACTAGCTCGTGTCATATATATAGTGGCTTGTAGAGTTATCTTGCAGCGAGATGCAGAGGGAATATCAGCACGGCATCCAAAGGAAGAAACAAGAATGGCACTAGGAGAACCTGGGGGGATAATCTTAAAAAAAAAATGGGGAGATACGTATCGTGGGAAGTGGATGGGAACCCATCCAATGAACCCATCGTTCCTTTTGCTCAATTGTCAATTTATTTCAGTATAGCAGGATTCAGCCATTCAGGAGGTGACCCTTAGAGGATTTTTCATGCTCACCAGATTCATGGAGGTTCTATAAGAAGCTTTGTGAACTCAAAGGGAAATTATACTAGCTCCATGGATTTACTCAGTTGTGGCACCTATCTTTCTGTTTTAAATATAATACAAGACGCAGGCTGAAACTCAGAGTGACCACCGGATTCTTTTCTTTGCGTGCTGATGGCGTCACTTCTAAGCATGTTTTATGTTGTCTGTACCGGTTTTGTTTCTGCAGATTAATTCTAGAAACCAGATATATCTTTGCCCATACTTCCGGTGCATTACACTAATATTCAGAGACGCCTCTCTTTTTTTTTATAGAGACAGCTTAATCAAAAAACTGTATCTAAAAGTTTCAGAGATGGTCTGTCTCAAAAAAAAATGATTTATAGACATGGTTGTGCTTTTAGACGGCTCTAGAAATACTCTGTTTCTAGAGAAGCCTCTATTTTCACCCGCTTCTAGAGTAGTGGTACATATGACAACTTAGATTCAATATTGTTTGATTTAGCTGAAGCATCTTATGTACTAAGCTTTCCATGCTCTCACAAGGGCTTCAATTCGAAATTATCTCTGTTTCATCTTTTGTCAATCATTCTGAGTAGTAATTTGTTGCTTGAATCTTTAAATAGGTGTAGAGTTAGAATGGCAGTCCATCTGATTAGTCCATACAACAAGTTGTGCAACTATGATTGAAGTATTAATTCAGTTTTTGCATATATATTGGAGATATGGTTGTTAGGTATATATGTGATGTGTATTCTTCTTTGTATAAGGGCCTTATAGTTATCAGGTCAAAAATCAGATGAATTTTAACCCTACCAATGTATATCTTGGGGAGCATATGTCTTCGTCTGTTGCTTGAAGAAACAATATTAGCACACCCACATTTGTGTTTGTTTATATAACAGGTGAAGGGAATGGGGTGGCGAGAATACTTCGTTAGAGACATCTCTACAAGTTGGCTTCAAAGGTAGGTATGATTTTGTTTGATCGACATGATGCATTGGTCAAACCTTCATGGTATGCAAGGATTGATATAGGCCATGTATGCATCAAGAGATCACCCATTTAGTGCTTTACTTATCAATCGTGCTCTTTGTAATGTGTATTCAAAAGATTTTTCATTGTTATGTGATAAGTGAAGGATTAGTTCATCCATCTACCTCATTGGATTTGAATGCAAACTATAAGATAGGTACATATGTAGATCCATAAAAGTATTTTGTTTATCTGGTTTGAATATACCATTGTTTTAGGTGAGCTGATGCCACTAGTACAGGACTGAGCATCCGTCCGGGTTGGGAAACCCCCTTTAGTCCCGGTTTCCCAACCGAGATTGCAAATCCGGGATTAAAGGCTCACTTTTGTCCCGGTTCTTGGAACCGGTACTGAAAGTGGACCTTTAGTTCCGGTTGCTATTACCAACCGGGACTAAATGGGTCGCCAGACCTTGCTCGGCGCTGGCACATTTAGTCCCGGTTGATGTTTTCAACCGGTACTAAAGGTTCCTTTTATTTTTTCCATTTCTTTTATTTTCCTTTTATGGTTTCTTTTTGATTCAATTCTTTTTAGTTTCAGTTAGCTTTTCGTATACAAATTATACGTTGCAAAATATACATTCATATATACATGTTCCGTTCGAGCATTATACATAAATAACACACTAAAATGTATGAAACTATATATATATACAAATATTTCAAGAGGTTGTACATGCTTGAAATATGTACATAATAAAGTCATAAAAAGCTTGTACTTATGTTCTTGGGATTTTATTCAACCCTAATCTTCAGTCCTATGGCTAGTAGGTAATATTTCTTTTGTGTCATAGTAGTACTCGCCTTTGGGATCTATGACCTCATTCATAAGAAATCCTGACAATCGCTCTTGAATTGCTTTAATCTAGTCAGCTCGGAGGACCTTTTGCTTCCTCCATTCAACCTTTAATTCGAATAAAAGTAAAAATATGAATATATATGATTATATATATCAACACAATTATAATAAATAAATTATGTATATTTTTTACGTACTTCGAGGATCTCTTCACTTGTTTTCATTGAGTACTACATGAGGAACTCGCAAACATAGTATCCACATAAGTTGTTCCCCGATCCCTACCTCAAACACTACTTTACAAGAAAACGATTCATCATCAACCAATGAAGCATGGTAATAATGAATTGAACTAAATAAAGATACAGTGACCTAGCTAGTACTTACTGGGTATTGGACTATATCCAGAGGCACGGTCCAATTACCATTATGGTGTTTCTTAGCGAACGTAGCCCAAGCACTGCCCAAGAAAATAAATAAATAGAGTTATATCAATAAAACGGCATAAGAGAGTATACAGTGTGCGAGACCGAAATTACCACTACAGAATATTTATCATATCTTGGTAATATTCTTGGGGTTTTATCATATCTTGGTAATCTTGTCGGGGTTTTCTGGCTGAGTCAAAGATTTTTACATGACTCCTGGGTATATCGATGACCAGCAGTATCTAGTGAAAGCTACATATTTATACGTAGGCATAACTCGTTAACTAAAGTCAATATGGAGTAAGCAAAATAAAATGTGCACAAGACATTAACACTCACTTGAAGTTGTAAGGAAAGAGTATCAGTGTCTTGTCATGTTGGTAATCTAAGAACCTCAACAGATTCTTCTCCACTTGAGGTTGTCATCTATCATATGGAGTAACCGTGTCCTTGAATGTGCGATTCGGATCTATGAAACCAACATCAGTCATCCCTTTTTCCTTTAGTTTCAGCATCTCATATCTGCATATATATAGTACAAAAGAATATATATAGTGTGATGATAACTATATATAGACAACAAAATAACATGCAAGTTACTTCAATTGTAGAAAGAATCACTTACAGACATCCGCAGCTGAGGAGAAATTTGTCGAGAGCGTCCTGGTGTAATAGTTGGTGTAATTCATTGAACTCAATATGTATAAGGTCATAGCCATTTTAGTAATGCTTTAGTCTAACTCTGGCAAGAAGCTGTGCCTCTTTCTTTGCACACGCATCTAAGTACCACTTGTTTAACAAGAACATTTGGATACCCAGTGATGGCCATGACTTAGGGTTGACAAGACTCCTACCATACTTATAGGTCTAGAATAGATCAACTTTGGCTGTTGGTATCGATGCTCCCTCCATGAGTTGTTCCCGTGTGAAACCTGTTATGTCCATGAAGCCATTGAGTTGCACTAAATCGATTGAACCGCCTTATGTGTTTGTACAATCATCCTCAACAACTAGCAGGTCGATAGATTGCAAAGATTGTTGCCTGAGTTGTGCAATATCTTTCCCTGCTCTCTTTGCTTTCTAGGACGCCTTATATGACTTGTTGAGAGAACATTTATAGTCCAATAATGGCAAGGGCTTCCTTCTCTCATGCAACAGTTTCTCGCGTTCAATGACTTTTCTCCTTAGTTCTTGTCGAGGTAGGGCAAAATGCGGCTTTGGTGGGTTTCTCTTTGCTTCACATGCATCTTTTACAGTTTTCCAGAAAGCATCCAAATCTTTTTTGTGCCGTCGCTTCTGATTCCTCTTTGGACTTCTCATAAGGCAGCTTCTCTGGAGGGGGATTTGTTTTATGGCTGCCTTTCTTCTTCAATGGGGTCTTCACCAGGGGTGGGGACCTCCTCTTATGCCTCTGCAGCGCAGGAGGCGGTGGTGTGGGAGACCGCCTTGTAGGAGATGGAGATGGAGATGCAGACATGCCATGGATTGCATCATCATCGTCCAGAGCACTCTGATGATCAGGGGATGGAAGAACTGGACTTAGGCTAGGAGACCTGTGTGTACAAAAATGATTGAGAGGAAATGGTTATTTATGCGAGAAGCTAATAATTGAGAATGATTATTGAAAAATAGTTTTGTTCACTTTCATCCGCACCTATGAGGTAGTTGTAACACCCTAAGGTGTTAGGCTTGCATAATTTGACTTGCATTGCATGAGCATAATCATCAAGCATTCATATATGAGCTTTTACATATGAAACATACAACTAAAACATGTGAAACATGCCTTGTTATTTCATGTTTTCTTATGAGTATTCTTATGATCATGTGTGAATAAGTGTAAGTGGTTGATGTTGGTCAATAAAACATCCTAGCTACACTTAGGATGACTAATGGAACAATGTTCATGTAGACCACTTTGTCTAATTAAGCTCCTAAGTGATGATATGCATGTTGACCTGGGAAGTAAAATATATAACCAATGTATGAAATTCTTGTGTGACCTTAGGAATACCTTAACCATGTTTAGAATATCATTATGAACAACTATGGTATTCAAGACTAGGGTTAGTTTGGTCACTAAGTCATAGTTGTAGTGTAAGTCATCATTTGAAAGTGTTATGTTTGACCTAGGTTGAACTAGGTCATAGAGACTTTGCATGGATGTGTTCACTAAATCAGAGTTGTAGTATTTGAGTAGAGCAACAAGTTTTATTGTTGGGTCATAGGCTAGTTCAGCTCCTAATATGCTTGAATTTAGCTCACAAGAATCAAGGTTTCACTATTTTTAGCACTTAGAAAATTTGCTAAGTCCTTTTTGAGTTTACAGTTTGACAGGCTCGATTTTGTGCTGATTTTTCTTCCT